CACCCTCCTAGCCACCATGGATGTTACCAGCTTATATACCAACATCCCACACCAAGATGGCATCCAAGCCTGCCTTACATATCTACAAGAGCAAGATTACAACTCAGAGTACAGACCCATAGATACTACTGACCTTATACACTTCATCCTCACACACAACAATTTCACTTTTAATAACCAACACTTTCTCCAGCACATGGGAACAGCTATGGGCACCAAAATGGCCCCACAGTATGCCAACCTTTTTATGAGACACCTGGAAGATGACTTCCCTCAAGGACTGCACCATCAAACCCTTGCTATACTTAAGATATATTGATGACATCTTCATTTGGACTGAAAACCTGCAATCTGATTGAATTCCATCAGAAATTCAGCAATCACCATCCCTCCATCAGACTAGCTCTTGAATACTCCAGCACCAACATCTCCTTTTTAGACAGGATGATCAGCATCCAGAATGATAAAATACAGACCACATTACACAAGAAACCCACAGACTAACATACACAGAACCAGCAGTCACCCTAAACACACCAAAAAAGCTGCTATATACAGCCAAGCCCTCAGATACCACTGAATTTGCACAGAGAAGGACACCTGGGATTGTCACCTCACCAACCTTAAAAAGGCTTTCACACAACAAGGACGCTCCTCCAGAGAGAGAGATCACACATTTGAAGGAGCCACCCAGATACCATGTGAAGAATTGCTGCAGTACAGAAGAAACCCCCCCCCACCACCATTTGCACACCGCTGGTCGTGACATATCACCCCTCCCTCAAACCCATACGGAAAATCCTCAAACAATTGCAACCCATACTAGAAACAGACCTTATTCTTAAAGAGATCGTCCCAGAGCCACCCATCCTAGCCTTCAAACATGCGCTAAACCTCACTAACCTCATCACCAGAAGCAAACTTCCTCAGGCCCAGAATACACAGAATGGATCCAGAGCATGCCATGACAAGAAATGCAAAACCTGCCAACACATTTCCACCACCCCTACAATTACTACACCCCACAACAGAGCCATCAGCATTCCCAGATCTTACAGCTTCACCTCCAGAAAGGTAATACATCTCATCCAATGCACCAAATGCCCCGATGGAAAATACGTAAGAGAGACCAAACAACAACTGTGCACCAGAATGAAAGCACACTGGAAATCTATCAAAGACAAGAATACCCAATTACCTGTGGGGGCACATTTCTCACAAGAAAACCACTCTCTCTCCAATCTCTGTCCTGATCCTCAAAGGAAACTTACAAAACACTTCCCAGAGATGAGCCTATGAACTCCACTTCGTCATCCTCCTGGATACTAAAAATCATGGACTAAATATAGACATTGGATTTATGACACATTATAGCCTGCCAGACATCCGACTCCCCAGGTACCTCTCCACTATTCATCCCCCTTCTCTCCTCCAACACCCAGCCTGACTCCTCAATTTACATCTACACTGACTGTGCCTATCTTGTAGGCAGCCTCTGGCTTCTTTACTTTTCATTCCATCCAGGAAGAGCGCACACCAACTGCAGACACTTCCTCAGCCTTATGAAGGGTTTTTAAACCCAAAAGCTGGCTTAAAATTTTTTTTCCAACTAGTTAAGTTGGTCTAATAAAAAGATATCAGATTCATCCGAAGAACCTTGTCTGCCCATGTTAGAGGCAGCACAGGAGGAAGAGCAGAGATATTCGAGGAAAAAAATGACAAACAGGTAGGTAGGGCAGAAAGTATAACCTCTGTTTTGCCTGTAATCTGGAGAAAGATAGTCACTTCCCAAGCATAAACTGTTTTTAAATTAAAGCACAAAAGACCTATTGCAGAGCAAAAGATTAGATCAGAACCCAAATTATATGCAACTCTCCCTAAGAGATACCTATAGACAGCAGGAAAAGCACAACACAGCGACTTCTCTCCTGCACAGGGTAAGGGAGAAATGAGACAGAGACACAAAATTGCCTAGGACCTCTGGACCAGCACATATTTACAACATTCATGAGCGTGACTGCAGGGCAGACACTTTCCACCACTTTCCCTTTACATACAATACCTTGCCTGGCCGGAATTCAGGGAAAAGCTCAGTAACGCTTGGCAACTGTTTGGTGGCATCCCGCTGCATGATTCCTGCGAGAGGCAGAGTAAGTTTGCCTTCCTTGGATTCTGTTTGCCTGGCCTCTTGGGGTCCCATCTCTGACTCAGAATCAGAGCTGCTGCTAAAATCCACCTTCTCGGAGGCAGCAGAGGAAGGAGCAATGATGGAGGGCAGAATTATGCCATCTCTTTCCTCAGATGCTACAAGAAAGCAAGCAACTCATTAACAAAGTTCCACCCCTACCCCCAAGCACAGCCCTCAGAGCCACCTGTGCATTGCTGCTTTATCTCAGAGCATGCAGTAACAAAGCCACTAAATGTCACAGTTACCAAGTCCCATCCAGTTTAGTCTTTCCTTCCAGCCCTACAGCAGAGAAAGAGCAAAAGCAAGATGGAAAAGCAGCTCAAAGGCTTATTTATAAATCTTCATATCTCAACACTTGTTGAGAATGTGACAACTTTACCCTGTATTTCAAGGAAGGGCCAGTCCTAGGCAGCACCATCTCACTGCATGCCTGGCCAGACCCCTCTTCGATTCCAAAACACTAGATTGAAGGGGGAGGAGGGGAATTATTTGGCCAGCAGACCACTTAAGGAGTTTTGGTGAGCTACTGAGGGGTAGGGGGGTGCCAAGTAGCCATCCTGCCCTCCCACCACAATGAACCACTGCCAAGCCACACTGAGAAAGTTGGGGGCAGCTGCCCAGGGACCAAGCCCCCTTCTTTCCTCTCCCCTCCCCTGCCAAGGTTCATAGGGACCCGCTTCCTAGTGGTGCGGCAGTGGCTTAGAGCAGCAGGTTGGTGGGACAGCTACTCAGCACGCCGCATTATACATTGTTCCATGAGGGCTCACTTGTTGGTGGCCACAGTGCCAAGACTGCAAAGTGACCGGGGGGGGGG